GCTCGCCCCGCTCGCCCCGCCCACCCTAGGCATGCTCGGCGAGGACAGTATGGACAGGCGGACGGCAGGGCCGGCCGTGGTGACGGGGCTGGGGTGGGCCGGGAACCCGATGAACGCCGACTTCCTCGCGTGCAGGGGGCGACGAACTGGCGGTGGAGCAATCGGAGGCTTGGTGCTTGCCGGGACCGGCATCGTGGTGGGACCAACGACCTGGGGATAACGGAAGGGCCATTCGGGACCGTTAATCAGTTGGTGATGAATAGCATATGGTGTATACTCCTGGGGAGGGCTCTTGGGCGTGAAGAGGAGTCGCATGTCGTATAGCAGCAACTGTGGCTGTTCTTTCTCCGCGCAGACGCGCTCTCGATAGACTTTATAGCACCGCTTTAGGTACTGACAACAGCAACTACGTCAATGGGTTCAAGAGAGGCAGGCATGGGAACCGAGAGGTGCATCTTGTTGACGAATTATTGTTTGATGAACAACACGTAGCAGCAGACTTGATACATCATCTGGTTCCCGCCCCAAGGACACCACAAAGGGCTACTACTGCTGTTGATTTGTAGACTAAGCAGGCAGATGACGCCAATCTCCGGAAAGCAGCTTATGGATTGACCCAGTTCTTGCAACGAAACATGCAGCTGTAGGAGAGAGGGACGGTGGCACATCTCAATGAGACATGTCAGCCTGTAGGAAGCGCTTCTCAGCTTGGCCTACTTTCTGGAGTTAAGAAAAGATACGCACCACTCCACAATATTGATCTAAGGATGCCAAGGAGAGTAGACCAGACTGTGGTTTTATCGACTCAATACCGTCATTCGTACCGTGCTGGCGGGCGTTCCGGCACCGGCGCCCCTTCTCTTCTTCTGGCCACCGACCCTGTCCGCGCGAGGTGAGCACCTAACGAAACAGCATTGGTCAGCACAGCAACGAATTGAGACACAAACACATATCAGTAAGGGGACGTTGAAGCATAACAGGGGATCGTTTCTGTATTTTTGTTTGGTCTGACACACGTAACATTGCGGCAGCGGGGAAATGAGGAGGTGATGGGCGTATTATGCGGACGCCCAAGGGTTTGAGAAAGGTGTGGTATCGCCGCTTTGTCGGATATATCTGTGCATTGACCTCCAGATGACGACGTTTGAGTTGAAAGAGACGCGGACAAAGCCTTTTGCGCTTGCTTTTGCCGGCGGTTGCGTATTTATTGTGTTCACCACGCTAGCCTCTCCTAAGCAAATTTGTCTTCACGTTATTGATTGCTACACACGGGGATGAGCGTCTACCTTCACGTTATTGATTGCTACACACGGGGATGAGCGTCTACCTCAACCACCAAGCACGTTTATGGCGACGGCGCCGAGACGGAGAGTGAAGCCACGTCGTAGGCCTCTGACATGGCCACGTACCGAGACTGTAGCTACAGGTGAATTTCGCCGACCGGTTCTGCGTATAAAAAGGGACGTTCTTTCGCCGCCTCACGGACGGCCGTTTTATGCTGGAGTAGCAGCGCTAAAGCTGCAGCAGGATACGTGTGTGCATAGTGCCATAGAATCGGGGTAGTTAGTTCGGGCGACATGTATGTTTGTATGTGCGTAAAATAGTCTACAACCTAATCTGTTGCACAAACCGCACGAGTGTATGTAGATCACTTGATGAGTTTTTCGCGTAAAATCCCTTGCTCCGCGAATCTGCGATGGTGTCGACCCCCCAAACAAGCTCGAATGACCTAGCTGTCTATCTCATTCAAACGCTTTCTACCTCCCAGGGCGCCTCCGAGGGCTCACGCCACGGCGTACGAGAACCCGCGCGTGTTGAACCGCTCAACGCGGCCTCTCCACTCACATTATTCGACTGTTATCGTTGTGTTGTTGCAGAGACAATCGTGACGTCGGGACTCTCTGCTGGCTGGCAGTAGTTCAACGGACCACCGCTTTCGTCCTCGCCACTCCTTCTCTCTCTGGTCTCGACTCCACGTGGTCCTTGCCACCTGTGGGTCTTGGCAAGAGTCTGGGGAGTGCGCTGAGTGTGTATGTCCGCTAGTGTCCGCCGCGGCCTGCTTCAAAATCCAGCAACGAACGGTTACAGATTATCCCGCCGCCCCCTGTGTGTCATCCCGGTTCTACAATAGAACCTTGACAAAAAAAAATGAGACGGTCGATCGGTAAAACGGAAAACTGAGGTCATGTATAGTCATGGATCACTGTCCTGTGACGTCGTTAATTCTCGAGAAGGCATTGCTAACTTTGCCTCCGTAACGCAATATGATCGGCACTGCTATCGTTGAGTTGTCCAATAGTCTGTCCACAGAGAAGCCGTGGCAACTTGTCAATGAACAGAGTGATAAAATGACAAACCTCTTTCCGTTGTACCGATCGACCATCTCATTTTTTTTTTCAAGGTTCCATTGTAGAACCAGGATGACACACAGGGGGCGGCGGGATAATCTGTAACCGTTCGTTGCTGGATTTTGAAGCAGGCCGCGGCGGACACTAGCGGACATACACACTCAGCGCACTCCCCAGACTCTTGCCAAGACCCACAGGTGGCAAGGACCACGTGGAGTCGAGACCAGAGAGAGAAGGAGTGGCGAGGACGAAAGCGGTGGTCCGTTGAACTACTGCCAGCCAGCAGAGAGTCCCGACGTCACGATTGTCTCTGCAACAACACAACGATAACAGTCGAATAATGTGAGTGGAGAGGCCGCGTTGAGCGGTTCAACACGCGCGGGTTCTCGTACGCCGTGGCGTGAGCCCTCGGAGGCGCCCTGGGAGGTAGAAAGCGTTTGAATGAGATAGACAGCTAGGTCATTCGAGCTTGTTTGGGGGGTCGACACCATCGCAGATTCGCGGAGCAAGGGATTTTACGCGAAAAACTCATCAAGTGATCTACATACACTCGTGCGGTTTGTGCAACAGATTAGGTTGTAGACTATTTTACGCACATACAAACATACATGTCGCCCGAACGAACTACCCCGATTCTATGGCACTATGCACACACGTATCCTGCTGCAGCTTTAGCGCTGCTACTCCAGCATAAAACGGCCGTCCGTGAGGCGGCGAAAGAACGTCCCTTTTTATACGCAGAACCGGTCGGCGAAATTCACCTGTAGCTACAGTCTCGGTACGTGGCCATGTCAGAGGCCTACGACGTGGCTTCACTCTCCGTCTCGGCGCCGTCGCCATAAACGTGCTTGGTGGTTGAGGTAGACGCTCATCCCCGTGTGTAGCAATCAATAACGTGAAGGTAGACGCTCATCCCCGTGTGTAGCAATCAATAACGTGAAGACAAATTTGCTTAGGAGAGGCTAGCGTGGTGAACACAATAAATACGCAACCGCCGGCAAAAGCAAGCGCAAAAGGCTTTGTCCGCGTCTCTTTCAACTCAAACGTCGTCATCTGGAGGTCAATGCACAGATATATCCGACAAAGCGGCGATACCACACCTTTCTCAAACCCTTGGGCGTCCGCATAATACGCCCATCACCTCCTCATTTCCCCGCTGCCGCAATGTTACGTGTGTCAGACCAAACAAAAATACAGAAACGATCCCCTGTTATGCTTCAACGTCCCCTTACTGATATGTGTTTGTGTCTCAATTCGTTGCTGTGCTGACCAATGCTGTTTCGTTAGGTGCTCACCTCGCGCGGACAGGGTCGGTGGCCAGAAGAAGAGAAGGGGCGCCGGTGCCGGAACGCCCGCCAGCACGGTACGAATGACGGTATTGAGTCGATAAAACCACAGTCTGGTCTACTCTCCTTGGCATCCTTAGATCAATATTGTGGAGTGGTGCGTATCTTTTCTTAACTCCAGAAAGTAGGCCAAGCTGAGAAGCGCTTCCTACAGGCTGACATGTCTCATTGAGATGTGCCACCGTCCCTCTCTCCTACAGCTGCATGTTTCGTTGCAAGAACTGGGTCAATCCATAAGCTGCTTTCCGGAGATTGGCGTCATCTGCCTGCTTAGTCTACAAATCAACAGCAGTAGTAGCCCTTTGTGGTGTCCTTGGGGCGGGAACCAGATGATGTATCAAGTCTGCTGCTACGTGTTGTTCATCAAACAATAATTCGTCAACAAGATGCACCTCTCGGTTCCCATGCCTGCCTCTCTTGAACCCATTGACGTAGTTGCTGTTGTCAGTACCTAAAGCGGTGCTATAAAGTCTATCGAGAGCGCGTCTGCGCGGAGAAAGAACAGCCACAGTTGCTGCTATACGACATGCGACTCCTCTTCACGCCCAAGAGCCCTCCCCAGGAGTATACACCATATGCTATTCATCACCAACTGATTAACGGTCCCGAATGGCCCTTCCGTTATCCCCAGGTCGTTGGTCCCACCACGATGCCGGTCCCGGCAAGCACCAAGCCTCCGATTGCTCCACCGCCAGTTCGTCGCCCCCTGCACGCGAGGAAGTCGGCGTTCATCGGATTCCCGGCCCACCCCAGCCCCGTCACCACGGCCGGCCCTGCCGTCCGCCTGTCCATACTGTCCTCGCCGAGCATGCCTAGGGTGGGCGGGGCGAGCGGGGCGAGCGGGGCGGCAGCGGCGGGAACGGCAGCGTCGAGGTCGACCGTGGGGCCGGCCGCGGTGGCGGTGGCGGCGACGGGAGCGACGGCAGTGATGCCCCCCGCCGCGCCCTCGTTCCAAGCGGCGGCGGCGGCGGTGATGCCCGCCGCGGTGCCCTCGGGGCAGCCCTCCCAGGGATCGATGGCGGCGGCAAGGTATGCGGCAGCGGTGGCAAGCAATGCGGCGGCGGCCGCGGCGGCGACGGCGGCGATGTCCTCCCCCGCGCCTCCCGGGCAGCTCTTCGGAGCAGCCAGCTCATGGTCAAGCGCCTTCCAGACCCAGCAACTCGCCCGCGATGACATGGACGTCGACCCGTCCAAGCTCGAGCGCATATCGACGGCAACAGCTGTGATGGCTAGAGCCTTGGCGTCGGTTCTCCAGGCGAAGCTGAGCCTCGCGGGCCGGCCGTCCATGTCCAAGGCCGAGGAAGAAGCCTTGCTCTGGCAGTCTGTCATCGCGGACGCGGACCTTGCGCGTGCGCAGGCGGCGATGGAGGAGCTCCGGGAGGCCGAGTGGGCGTCCAACCAGATGGACGTTGACGACGACGAGGAGTACGAAGGGCCGTGGCCGATGGAGGTGGACGGCTAGGAGGAAGAAGAGAGAAGGAAGAGAGCGAAGGCCTCTCCCTCCCCGCGGAACCACTTGTCGCTCCGCAACATGTGAACGTCAGGGAAAATGGTGACGTTTTACACGGTGTACGAGAGTGGCGGATTCGCGACCGATATTTGTAGCAGAAGTATTATTTGGCAGGATGGGGCTTCAGAATTCGTTGGCTTGAGCTATTGAAAATGTTTTCTTTCGGTGCGTGAGATGTGCACGTGTGCTTCCTGCGTGGCGCGCTGCTGCGTGACGTGTGCGGTGTTGATGGTGGCGTAGCGTGCACAAAAAGAACGTAGCGGCATGAAAAAACGTGGGAAAAGATGGTGTAGAGCGTTCTAGGAGTGTAGATGCAGATAAGACACTCACTAGGCTTGCCACAAAGGCCTCACGCGTGAGAATAGGTTGTCGTGTGGGGGGCCTATGATGTCTGTGGGGGAGGGTCGGACGTGAATGAATGCGCGTCAAGTTATATATTTGTGTGATTCTTTAGTTTTTTCAAGCGTGTTTGTTCTCTAACAGTAGGCAACCTTCATCGAGCGCTCGCGGTGGGTGTAGGACCAGCGTGTCATCAGCACTCCTCATTGCGTTCTCTCAGCTCGGCACGGGATGCGATGAAGATGTGCAGGATTTAGGTGTTGGCGGGCTATACGCGAATGGTTTTTTCGGGTGCACGCGTGCATTGAGCAATTTCGAGTTTTGCCAGCCAGGGATTGGTTGTTGTACAGTATTGGCTCGTGTGTGTTTCTATGTCGTGTCCTTACCGAGCGCCTTTTCTTTTCATCATCATCGACTACTAGGTTCGAGTGCGTTGTGTGTTGTGCGTTTCGCGCGGTGTTTGTGATTGCTATTTGTTGCTTGAGTAGTTGTTCGCATGATGGAAATAAGTCGATTGCCGCACGCCGACAGGGGTAGCGCGTGGCCATGCTTCGGAGCTCCTGGCTTGGCCATTGGAGTTCCATGTGTTGTGTGGGCCAAAGCCGTGACAGTGCGCTGGACGTGAGGAATCTCCCAATCGAATACGTTGATGCGTTATCGCCATTTGCTGGAGATGTATTCTCCATTGCAGCGGTAGCCACCTTCTGTGACCGTATTGGGAGATGATGCACTGATGGCGCACATAAACTGTTTCCAGATCAGAGCGTTTGTTGGTCTTGGCCTTTTGCCACTGGATTTCTCCAGCGTGTAGCAAGACCCACAACCGCCTTGATTTGGGGCACCCCCTCCCCCCCGTCCCCCCTACTTTCCGGTTTGGCTTTGATGCCGGCATCGTGGCGAACTGATCCTGTGTTTCCGCATCAGACTTGTGCATTGGCCTTGACCTTTTTGCCGTAGAGGACTCTTCCTCGTGTGCAGTCGGGGCAATACACTCGTTCGGTATGGCATTCGTGTTCGTCCCCCCCACCCTGCCGCCTTCCGTGTTTTGTTTGATGCCGGCATCGTGGCGCGTCGACCCTGCTTCCAGATCAGACTTCGTGATTGGCCTTGACCTTGTCAGCAAGTGTTTTCCTCGTGTGGAGTAGGAGCCATGATCTGGTACGGTTTCGGACATATGTTCGCCCCCCTTTCCAGTTCGTCTTCTCTGATGCTGGCATCGTAGCGTACTATTCCTGCTTCTGGTGCCACCACCTTAGCGCACTAGTCTGGTTTCTATGGTGGACTTGTTTGATGGCCTTGACCTGTAGCCGTTGGGGTTTCCCTCGAGTGGAGTTAGGGCCATCAACGCGTCGGTCTCCCCTCCCCACCCCCCGGTTTTGCTTTGATACTAGCATCGTAGCGTACTAATCCTGCTTCTGATGCCAGCATCATGGCGCACGGCTCTTGTGTTTCTGTGTTTGGCTTGATCATTGATCTTGACCATTTTGCCATAGGGCTTTTCCTCTTGTGCGATCAGAGTCATGGCATGCTTTTGATGTGGCATAGATGTTCGGCCCCCCCGCCCTACAGTTGTTTTTTGTTTAGCTCAGATGCTGTTTTTGCAATCAAAGAGCTACAAGGGAAGAGTTTCAATATTTTCGTGGTACCTTTCGTGTGTTCGACTCCGAATTGTTTGCACGCTCGCGTCCCATCCGCATTGTCCCCGCTTGATACGGTGGCTATTGCACGATGGCCCCCGGTCCAGCGTTTCTGCATGCGTTATTCGGTTTCGATCATCAGTGTTTGAATATGTAGTCTTTGTCGTTGCACGAAGTGGTCGACGCTCGCGGTGGTACTTCGATGTCTTTTGGTGGTGCGTGTGATAGCATCGCTGGCACGACAAAAGAGGAGGATGAGACTGCCCGATTGGAATTTTGTCTTACGATTTGTAGCAACTATTTTTTTCTGGGTGGATGTTCTCTCATTCGTATCACAGGCCAATGAGAAGACGCAGACGCCCGTCTCATGGCGGCTGAGTTTGTGTAGAACAATCTTCTAGAACCCATGATGTGGAACCCCGTGAGGGGCGCCATGAGGTTGGCTATTCTCCGGATCCAAGGCGGAAACGGCAGCAGGTGAAGAATGGTGCGCGTTTCTACCTAGACCCCTACTGGCTACTCGTGGTCGTTTGGGCTCCGCATATGGTTGCTTGTGCCATCACCTTCCTTGAATGCAGAAGAGTAATTTTGTCCTCAAGGATTTACATCAAGCAACTCTCTATTCCTCGCGCGTTCGTTTCGTGAAAGTTTAGCATTGGGTTTTTCTTTTTTGGCTTTCTGCCGTGCCATGTCATTCTCCTCCATAGTTGTTTCAATCCCACCTTTTTTTCTCATTCCTCCTCTTTGTTACTCTTTTCATTGTTCCCCTCTTTACCATCAGCACCCTACTGCTCGCTAGCACCTTTCCTTCAGTCTTCGTCGACACTCACTCTCCGTCGATTTTTGTCCCTGTCCTCGCCGTATTTTCGCCACCGTTCTTTCCGTCATCTGAGAAAATTCAACCGATTGGATTTGATCCGATCCAACATCAACCCGTGGGTTATCAAGACGTCACGGGTGCCGGCTAAGGGGAAACAATCGAGCGCGCGCGCGTGTGTGTGTTGCGTTGTCAGCTCGATGTCCCAGCGCTCTTTCGTCACATGGATCGCCCCTCGCCAAGGCTAAGTTTGTTGTAGTTGTAGTCTAGTTGTCGTCGATGCTGTACTTTACCCCGCTAACTCCCTCCTTTGCCCCCGGCGAGCATACCTTGGTACAGTAAACGACAAATAACCACCACGTATGTATTTTGGTAGCCAGATGGTTGACCAGGTCGCTGGTTGGCGCGCGTTGTCGGCCGTGGGACTCGGGGCACAAATAACCTCGGTTTGTGCCGTGTTCTTATTGTCGGTCGACCTTGCCCGCATGCACGCGGTGGACTACTGTAAGGTTCTCATTGAGGCCGATCGTTGGTTTAGCATGTGTTGCGTTTGGGGCTCTCCTGAAGCACGACGTCAAGGATACCGGACCCGAGCTTGAAACAGGGGGTGATTGTTTTTGTTCACGCAATCCCACTGAAACATGGTATGAAAGTCGGCCAGGACGTTTTCCTGCCGAGCCGAGCGTGGGAAAGAACCTCAGGCCCATTTCAATCCTTAGTTAGTCATGGCATTGCTCGCCAAAGCTCGCAGCACCTACCCCCCCAATTACTACCATCCCATTTCCTACTCAAGACGGACACGAAAATATTCCATCTTGACAGGAGAAGAAAGGACTTGAAGGCACGAGGGTTACGAGTGGACACCTCGGAAGCGGGTAAACGTGGTGCACGTTTATCATTGTCACGAAACATCCTAGGGCCCCCTTGATCCATCATCAGGCTAGTCTCCCCTATCACGTCGAGCAAGAACGACCGACCGCTGTTTAACCGTCGGTCATGCCAAAAATGGGCAAAATACAGACATGCCTCCAAATAGGCAGCGCTCACTACACTCGACGATCCGGCAAAGGCGGCAACCCCTTCCCCGTGAAAACCGGGGACGCTGACCGCGGTGACCGAGACGGCTTTTTCCTGCGACATGCATGCCAATCCTGGACGATTCGACCTTCTTCTACAGCAAGGCGATGCTTTCCTTCAGCTCCTGAGATGTTGAGGGCAGTACAAAGGAACAGCAGAGAGTCGGTGCGCGAAAAGACAGGCATGCTTCATACATCATGGCGGGGGGGGGGCCGCTGAAACATCAGCGGGATATCCATACGGGAAAAGATTCAACCGTTCCTGTAGAAATAAGTTCATTGCCTCCGGTAAGCTTGACCCCGCGATCGCTTGACGCACAAAACAGAGAGCAGAGGCCCTCAGTGCAAATCAAGCGTGGAGTTATTGAGCCTGTCGCGGTCATGGGCACATTCGTCTTCGAACTCCCAAGCGGTCGGCTTCATGTGTTAGTGGCCTCTATTGGCGCAGGCCGATCGATGTAAGATGGCACCATCCTCCCCCATTGTTTTTGCCCGCCAGCCCTCGTGCCTGAACATACCCACACCCCAATTCACACAATCTCCCGCACAGTTTCGCTAAACCGCGCATGGGGCACCCATGGGGCATGGGTCGCCCGTGGGCACTTCACTGGGCGCCCATGGGCGGCCCATGAACTGCCCACGAAGTGCCTACCGTGGGCACTTCAACCTATGTAGAACTCGCCACCGACATATCAACCTAGAACTTGGCCATCGGCACATCAACCTAGAACTTAGCCACCCAGCGCCAACCTAGGACGTACCGTGTGGGCTTGGGGTTAGGGTTAGAGTTAGCGATAGCGTTAGTTGTCGTTATAATGCCCGTTTCAGAGCAGACAATCTATTGTCCAGGAGTACACATGTTCCGGTTGAAGGGTGCTCGTTGGCCGTCCATGGGATGTCCATGAGCTGTCCATGGGCTGCCCACGGGCTACCCATGGGCATGCCCATGGGTGTCCCCTGGGCTGCCTATGGGTGTCCCATTGGTGGTATAGCAAACTGTAGAAAGTGTGGGAGACCCAATTCACACCACAGAGTCCTGACGAAGAAAACCCTCACATGTATTTCGCAAGCTGCCAGTGGGTC